GCTTCCTGACACTCCTCATCGTACCAGTTGTTCTTTCGGGCTCGCTGAAATCCGACTACTTCTTCGGCGGCGGTACTTAATGAGCGGGAAATGTGGTTCCACTGCTCGCATATGTCGGTTTGTTGAAGAGTGCTCTCTGAGAGCAGGTGTGAGAGTCGAGTAGCGAAAGCGCTAGCTGTCTGTAAAAAGTAGACTATAAGATATTAAAAAAGGCAGTAGTCCCAGCGCGGTTTAAAAATTAAACCCAAATTGTTGACCGTGTAGGCACCGAAACTACCATGTTTTCTTGCAGTTTTCTAAGTTCATACGAAGAGGAGACTTTTGAAAGTGTATAAATAAGTATTATAGCGACTTTTGCAAGAGTAGTTAACATTTCATATTTTTTTTAGAATATAGAAAAAATTTTCACTCTGTTGTTAGTGTACATGAAACCCACCAAAACCTAAAAATCGAAAAAAAAAATTTACATAGCGCACTTTGAAAGTGGACTACTCAATTGTTGAATATGCTATCTTATTTGTCCCTTCTTTTTATACATTTAAGGAGCGGCTGAATGGTTTAACGATGTTAGCGGTACATAATGATGTACCGATTACAACACAAGAAGTAATTGAAAAAGTATGTGTTAAGCCACGAAGATTAAAAATCGCTTTATAAGTAATACGATTTTGTAGACTTGTACATACATGTAAATAGATACGCGTAAATATATAACTATGCAGATACATTCAATGTGTAAAAACTGAAGTGTATACTAACGAAACTTCTACAAAACAAAACTGGAGTACACACTGATTAATTAAAATGGTGTAGTAATTTAATTTTTTAAATTTAAATAAGTAAAGCATGAATTCCCCATGGAATAACCGAGTAGAAAAAAAATATATAACGGTAAAAATGGCACATACATACATATATGAAAGAATGCCCACAGGCGACGCCTCTAGCCATTGTGTATCACAATTTTAAGTTATCGATGGGAATTTTTTTGTAATCCCCCCCCATTCACCAAATCCTGGCTACGCCACTGGTCAGTATGCACATTAAAGTTACCGCTATTTACTAAATATAGCTCAGGAAACCTTCTAGAAATTTAAAGTTACACAAAAAGAAATATAAAGAATATTCTTGCAGGTCGCAATAGATTCAGAGATTATGACTTGAACCTAGAGTTTGAAGATCGGTAATTTTCTAAATGTAAGATCAAAGCATAATAATAGAAATGTGCATTTTTTAATATCAGTGCAATGCAAGCTGTTGTTTTCAAAGTACTGTTGACGATAAATTTTACCGAAGAGATAATGATTATATAATCAAAACTGTTCTTATGAAACTAAGAAAAAGTAGGTTTAATCAGAATTTAATATTAGCTTAAACGTGCGTTTGACATTTACGATAATAAAATTATAGTTTAAAAAAACTAAAACCTCCCTATTATAATTGTCATTCGTACTGTCATCATTGTATGTAGCTTGAGAATAGAAATCGCTGCGTCTTTTAGTCGCATCAATATTACATAGTTACATCCCGAGTTAATAAAGGGAAGGTAATAATAAAAAAGGAAGGTAAAAATAAGAAATGCATACATACATTTACGCATGCACATATGTATATAGGTAAGTATATTAACCTTATCTGTCAAACGCAAGCCTTTAGACTTCCTCGCGTTACATACAAACAAAAATCCGATCTCCTTATCATTAATGTTTGCCTTTTTAATAGACATCTGTATGTGCATCGTCATTGTAACTAACGAGACACTAGAGTAAAGTAAAGAAAGCTTTTAAAACATCGAAATCTCGATACTTTGGATGAGCTGTCAAAGTTTATAATAAATACATTCCTTCGTGAAAACCATCTATTTGGTTTGGATCCTTTTCTAATACTGACGACGATGCATGCTTAAATATATACATATGCACATAGCTATAATAAGTAAGTAATTTTAACAAACCTTTCACTAGAGCATTGACGTAAGCATGCTCCACTTGCAAGGTGGCTAATTCTTTCTCCAATTTCAAATGCCTGTACGTGCCCCAGTTACCATTTTTAACCACATTTAAAGTCAAATCTTTCACTAGTTGTTCTTGATAAAATGGTGAAGTTAATGAGAACTTTTCAGCATTTGCGTCCTGAATAAAAACGGTTCTAACAAATTTACCACCATTCTCATATGTGACACACGTGGTTAACCCCACAGCTCCAAACAGTTCTTCTCCTTGGCAGACAATGTATATGTATTTCTCTTCTTCACCTGCCTTTACAAGTGCCAATTTTAAATCCTCTAACCAGTCAAATCTTTTCTCGGTTACGTTGATAATCTCAGATTTTCGTTTGCTTAAGTCAACAGCACGCCTTGTCACGACGAGAATTCTAGAATCGCCTTTGAATAACTCTTGTACAATCACAAATCCATATTTGGACAATACGGCGGGACCAGAAGTTTTATAAGAATTAACACTTTCGTCAAATATCAAAAATCCATTATCTTTGATACTGGCAATACTATTTTCCAAAACGGCTGTATCAGGGCGAGAAAGTACGTCGGTTCCAAACAAGAAGTTGCAGTTCTGCTCAACCGGCTCCTTCGCTATATTTTTCGAAATTACTCGAACACCAAAGTCGCTTAAAGCGGACTTAATGCTTTCCTCATCTTTACTTGCAGTAGCCACAGAAATATCGGCAGCAACCGCAGGTTCTCCTTCAATGAATTGCACGAGCTTTCCAGCCGCCAAAGATTCGGGGTTTCGGCCATTTCCAAGTTCTACTCCCTTAATTTTGAAGGAACGCTCGGCATTTTCTATAACAAGTTGGATTGCCACCGAGAGAGCATGCGATCCTGCCTTTCCTGAGTTCTCGTGTAGCTCTGAATGATTTAAATTGGGTATAAACGTGTACCGCTCTAACGTTGGAGGGTTTTGGGCATTTGGACGTTTCTGCGCTAACGAAGCTTTGAGGCCTCGTAATTCAACACCTCCACTTTTGATAACATTAATATTGCTATACATATATACTGGTATGCCGACTTTGGTAAGGTCTTCTTCCGATAGTTGTGATAAAATTTCTAAATGTTTGCTTGGATTAATAACCGCCTTCTCAATGCGAGTCGGCAAGTAAAGCTCACGCAAATCCTTACTCAATATACTAAACTGTAACATGGTGTCCATAAAACTTATCCAATTGTCCACCCATTGTAGTTTACCAGCACGAGAAGATATATCTGATGTAACGATTCCACGAAAACTTCCTCCATAATCATAGCCACGTAGACGCAGTTCTTTATAAACATCATTTCCAACTAACTCACGGGAAATACTATTAGATGAAAGCGGTTGCAACTGTAATTCCTCTAGTGTGATATTATCGACAATTTTTATTTTTCCCGACATAGCTAAACTTCCAGCTTCGCATATCTCAAATGCACCAGTGCCATCAAAAAAGTTAATCCCGAATTTAGTAACTGTGTCTTTGTTTAAAATAGTTGCACGATGAAATATTAAGTCTTCCATGACCACAGCAGCCTTACTGAACTCGACACCGCGCATTTTTGCAAATGTCATCCATGCTAAAGTCATGTAACCAGTAGCAGGGAACAAAATACGTCCGTCGATGGTGTGACCCATTAAGAATGCATCCTCATCATTTGATAAATCGATTTCAATGACTGTATCGCCTGAAGATTTGGAGGCACCATATTTTGGAACTAGCCACCTTTGGGAATGGTCCCAGCCTATTTTTGAGTTCAACATTGGGGTTCCACGTCCTACAGGATAATAAATCGGACGCACTAAATTTTGTACCTGCGGTTGACCTCCAGCTGCATATAATTTTCCTATATTAGCCAAAAGGAATTCAGCATTATTTGGATGTCCACGTTTTACTAGGCTAATATTTAGAACGTCACGTCCAAGAGCACGTTTGAGAATAGCTTGCAATAAACCATGCGGTGCTATCTCAATGCAAATTGCGTTCGATGGAATATGTTGTAGCGCCTCATAGAATAACACAGGAGACAACATATTATTCACATGATAAGCTGCTGATGACTGCTTGGCAACAGGAGTATTCCAAGCACTTTCTGGAATACTGCTGCTTATCCATAGTTGTGTGCGGTTTTTAGCAGTAGGAATTATTTTTTCCAACATTTGTCTCAGTTTTGGGGCTGCGCCGGCAATATATTTGCTGTGAAAGGCGAATCCAGATGAGCTAACAGCCTTAGCGAATACGCCTTCAGCGTTTAATTTCAATAGCAGAGCATCAATTGAGTCACCAGGACCAGCAATTGTGCAATTATCTTGATTATTGTGGCAAACTGGATAGCAATCTGATGGCACGCGCTTATGAGCGTCTTCCCAAGATAATCCAACAGCGGCCATTTTTCCTTTAGGCAGGTTTGATTCCTTAATAGCACGTCCTCGCCAATATGTAGCCAAAACTGCTTGATCGGCGGTCAAACCGCCATCTGCATACGCACAACCCAACTCACCAACGGAATGCCCAACAATACCTTGAGGATGGATACCAAGTGAGGATAATAAGTCTGTAAGAGCAACTTGCATAGTGGTAATTGAAACAAATGAGCTCACAATATCACTGAATTTTTCGTCGGTGGAACGCGTTAATATCTCAAGCAGGTCGATGCCTTCGGGGCGCAAAATTTCAGCGCAACGCTGAACTGACTTTCTGAAGATATCAAATTGGAGGAGGTCCTTAGCCATGCTTCCCCATTGACTGCCCATACCAGAATAAACAAACCAAATTGGGCGCGTTTCTTCAGAAAACTCAACAACCTCACGTTGCACGGATCCTTTGCTAGTGAGAACATCGTAGCCGCGGTAGTAATGCAGCGAAATGGGTTGGGTATGTATGCCGTTGATAAGAGCTAGATATTCATCATCATCGCGATGTGTGGTGGCGTCTTCAAGTAAATCTTGAACAGCATCCATTGTCCGACCAGAACTGATAACTAATTTTGGGGGTCCGTCACGAGGAGTTAAAATTTTTGGTTTCGGATTCGATTTAAGAATTATGTGAGCATTGGCTCCTCCAAAACCAAAAGAGTTAAGCCCAATAATACCCCCATTCCAAGGCATATTTTTATCGACCACTTTTAGATGACCATCTATCAATCCGTACAGGTCAGGATTGGGTTTGCTGTAATGCAAATTGCCCGGAATTACGCCTTCTTCCATCGCAATCAAAATCTTAGCAATGGAACAAACACCAGACGCGGGTTCTGAGTGGCCCATATTTGATTTAACTGAACCAATTAGTAACGGATTTGTGCGATTTTTGCAAAAGAAGTCCGTAATTGAATTGACTTCTTGCGGATCTCCGACTTTGGTGCCAGTACCGTGAGCTTCAACATAAACGACTTCATTTGGATCCAAGTTAATTTCTTCGTAGGTTTCACGGATCAATCGATTTTGCATACGTCCATCAGGATATGTTATGCCCTGTTCTTTAAACCCATCGGTGTTTGTACGTGCATTCAGAATTGAAGCATAAACTCGTTTTGCGGCAGAAGTTAGTTGCAAAAGCAGTACCACAACGCCATCAGATCGAACGTAGCCAGCTCCCGTCTCGTCAAAAGCTTTGCACATGCCGCTATCACTCAACATATTTAGGCGTCTAAACTGCAATGACATCTCTGGTTTTAAAACCAAATTGGAACCACACACTATGGCAGCATCACATCTTCCAGCTCGCATATCTGAAAATGCCTGGGATAAGGCATACAAAGAACTGGAACATGCGGTGTCCACTGCAAAGCTAGGTCCTTTCAAATCAAATGTGTAAGAAATACGATTCGCAAACATAGCGCGTGCGCATCCAGTCAAACCGTATCCATTGACACGATCTGCATTTTCAGTCCAATGAGCTTCCGTCTCGGAATTAGATACACCGATATATACTCCGGTGCGTGTACCTCGCAACTCTGCAGGGTTAATACCAGCATCAATAATTGCCTCGTATGTAGATTCGAGTAACATGCGCATTTGTGGATCCATACATTCAGCCTGTTTTGCCGAAACACTGAAAAATTGTTGATCGAATACTTCCAAGTCATCTGCTTTAATTTTTCCAAGCCTTTCAGGCAAACCATAGAGACCTGCAATGTAACGCAGAAATAAATAAAAAAAAATAGGTTTTACTTATTTATTTCCAACGTTTTGTATCTTACCTCGTTCCCAACGCCTAGGATCATCATTGACTAGGTCCACACCATCATAGAGATTTCGTTTAAACTCTTCAATGCTTGAACTCTCGGGGAGCCTGCCAGAAAAGCCTGTTATAACGATATCGTCGTTCATAATCGCATTGCGGTTGTAGTGTCTCCCAATAGTCAATGGAACGCTACGGTCGTTGTCGGCTATGATATCTTCGGCGAAACGGGCTGGCATATTGTTAAATTTTATAATCTGCCCCGGTTCTTGTGAAAAATTGGACGCTGAAGAATTTTGCTGATGTTTGTTTCGACGTTTCTTTCGACGATTCGAACGTGAACTTGCCTTTTTTTGTAATGTTGGCGAAGTTTTATTCTTAACTGCAGTAGTTTGTGACTTGCTATTTTTAAACGTGGATTGTAACAGCGTGGAGCTGAAAATATACATTAGTTTGGCCAGTTAGATTTTTATTAACTACAAATCCAAAGTATAGTACATACATATACATATAGGGAGGTTCCATGGGAAACTGAACCTCAGTGCAAAAATTATTTTCTTTATAAAACTAACAAACGTGTGGGTAAGCCATTGGTAAAAATCTTGAATAAACCAAAAAATAACAAATTAAAGCTTTAAATGCACTTTTTTTTACCTTTTTTCCGTTTTGAAACCAAGTTCTAAGTAAATTGATTGAGTGAGTTTTAAGTAGGTTGTGTTGAAAGTACTGTAAAATAATTTACGCTTCATAATTCAAGTGTTTGGTAAGAAAAATATACATATATTAGAACCTATCTGATTTTAATTAAAAATTAACTTTTTTTTTCTTTTTATCTTGATTATTCACTTCACGGATGCAATTGAATTGAATATTTACCAATATATACTACTTTCGTTGACGTTTATGGTAAGATCAGTTAAGTTTCTATTTGATTTTAATATTTTTTTCCCTCAGTGTACACAAGTTGTCAAATGCGAAAATGAAGAAAATTTCAGTAAAAAGCCACCGCCAAATTGCAAAACCCCGAACAAATGTAAACCAACGGCTATTGTAAACATCGTTTTACTTTTTTCCTAATTGCGATTATAACGGGCTACTCTTCTTCTAGCGTGATCTTGTATTTTTGGTTCATATTGTTCTTGATAGTGTTAATGGATGTTTGGTTATGCATAACGTGACCAACTATCTCATATCTCAAAGAAGTACAGCTTAGGTTGGGTTAAGTTAACGCCGCGAGCCGATTATGAAATTTTGAATGCAGCTAATTTCGATCCCTGAGAGCTGTTCAGAAGTGCGAGCCAAAATGCTTCCAACTTAGCCTCGCGAAGGTTGGACAATGTAAAAGAAAGTGTGGAGATGATGCCACTTCATCTTCCTCTTGACAGCTGATACCAAAGGAATTCCTAGTCTCACCGAACTAGCCTTTGAGAGGTAACATGTTTGAAAGTGCCCTATAAAAACATTTGCTGCAGCAGAGAAACGTCTTCTTTTCCTTTTTTATGTCACAAACCAGGTTTCCTTTAGCCTAGTAACAGTTCGTGCTGCGAAAATTGTTATAACTACTGTGTATAAGAATTACTCTCACAATTTATGTACATTGAATATGCTTTGATATTTATTTATGTACATGATAGAAAATAATTTTTAATAATAAACTTTCAATCAGTTTGGTATGTTTCTGGTTTCATTGTGCTGTTTAAGGATTACAATAGGTTATGGGCGACTCACGTAAGGACGTACCCTTCGGGATCCTCCAATTTAATGGTACAGGATATGAAAACTGGAGTTTTCGTGTAAGGATGTACTTGGATTCATTGAAATTGTTGGAAGCTGTAACTGGGCAAGCTCCAACCGTTTCTGGCGCAGAAGTGGAGAAATTTAATGAAAAATGCAAACGAGCGTAGTCAATTATGGTGGGCTGCATATCAGATGAATATTTGAATTACGTAAAGGACAAAGAAACGGCTCGAGAAATGGGGAAAAGTCTGGAGGAAGTTTTTGCAGTGAAGTCTGCTACAAGTCAGGCAATTATCAGGATGCAGTTGGCAAGGCTGAAGCTCACGGAGCGGCGAACAATGAAGGATCATTTCTTGGAGTTTAATGATATGATCCGGCAGCTAAAATCAGCAGGGGCAGATTTGAAAGAAAGTGATCTAGTTTCTCAGCTCTTGCTTTCGTTACCAGAGAGCTATGATTCATTGGTTACGGCTCTCGAGAATATTAAGGATGAAGAGCTAACAATTCAGTTTGTAAAACAAAGGTTACTCGCAGAGGATCGTAAACGTATTGAACGTGGTAATTGTAACGAGTACAGCGAAAAAGGTTCTACTGCATTTGCAATACATGGAAAGCGGTATACTTTTAACGGGACATAAAAAGGCGTTTTGCAAAGTCAAGAAAGATGCGAGTCTTGCGATTGACTCAAATGAAGGCGGTTCTAATGCTGTGTTTCTTCGGCGATAAAAGGAATGGCAGCGGATGTGGAGAGTCTCTAGAAGAAGGTTGCGTAAATATGGAAGCAGGTGATATAAGATTTGTGCTAGATTCGGGATCTAGTGATCATTTGGTTAATGAGAGGGAACATTTTAAAACATTAAAGTTGTTAGAAAAGTCCATATATATTAATGTAGCAAAGGATGGTGAGGCACTGATAGCAAAAGAGTTCGGCAATATTAGCGGATATACGAATATTCTAGTTTAAATGAAGAATGTTCTTTATGTTCCTGGTCTGCGCGATAATCTTCTATCCGTACGTAAGTTAACAAAAGCAGGAATTACAGTAGATTTTAAAAGAGATATCGCTGAAATGAGAAATAGAGGAAATAATATTGCTACAGCGGAATTGATTGGTAACCTGTATTTACTACGTATTTTTAAAGGTATAGCAAATGCAAATTTATGCATGGCAGAAAAGAGCAAATTGTGGCACAGGCGTGTAGGCCATATTAATCAACAAACACTTGAAGATATGGCTCGAAAAGAAGCCGTGTTGGGAATTTCAAATGCAAAAGTATTTGTTGTATGTGATGTTTGCATTAAAGGCAAACAATGTCGATAGGTGTTTGGTGGAACGCGCGAAAGAAGCCAGCGTCCACTGGAAAGGATTCACAGTGATGTTTGTGGACCAATTACACCTAAAACGTTTAATGGTTACCGCTAATTTGTTTCTTTTGTAGATGATTATACGCATTTTTCTATGATATATTTGATCCGAAAGAAATCGGAGGTGTTTTCAAAATTTAAGGAATATGAAGCTTTAGTTTAATGTGATTTGTGTGAAATTTCAATTCTAAGGTCGGATCAAGGTGGAGAATACACATCAAACGAACAATGTAAGTTTTAAAAGGAGAAGGGAATACAAGCGGAGGACACCATTGCGTATACGCCACAACAAAATGGTGTACCGGAGAGTTTCAATCGGACTTTAGTTGAGAAGGTTTGCACACTACTTATAGTGGCAAGATGTCCGAAACATATGTGGGGTGAAGCTGCACTTACGGCTACATATCTTATAAATAGAAGTTTCACAATGGCGTTGAAAGGTAATAAAACTCCAGCTGAGTTATGGTACGGTAAAAAGCCAAATTTAGAACGATTGCGAGTTTTTGGTTGCACGGCTTATGCTTGGATATCAGAGCAGAAAAGGGAGAAACTGGACGAAAAGAGTTTTAGGGCAGTAATGATTGGATATGCGCAAAATGGATATAGACTATGGAACTTGAATAATAAAAATTTGTTTGTTGCCAGAGATGTTAAATTCAACGAATCAGAATATCCATTTGGAAATAATCATATTGAGGCTTGTAAAGAAAGAAGTATAGTAGAATTTGAGCCTACATGCATAACCGGTCAAGGAGGGGAATATCTTGCTGATGAGCAGACTGAGAATACCGGTAATACATGTGAGGAGCATGAAACAAGGCCACAACTATATGATGACGATAGATTGTATGACGCTGAGGAGGGAAACGAAGAACAAGGGAGAATAGTTGAAAATAACTTACCTAAACTGAGACGCAGTTTTAAATTATTTTAGTTATAACACAGAACAAAATCATAATAATCATCCCGAATCATTTAGTGAAATAAATAGCAGATTCGATCAGGTATTTTGGATGAAAGCAATCAAAGATGAGTTGAATCGTTTGGAAAATTGTAAAGCGACCAGTAGACATTAAGCCTTTAAAATCAAAGTGGGTGTTTCGTCTTAAAGAAGATGAAAACGGATGTCCCACTCGTTACAAAGCACGACTTGTGGCAAAAGGTTTTTTACAAAAATCTGGAATTGATTATGGAGAAAGCTACGCACCTGCTGCAAAATTACCAACTATTCGAACAGTTTTGGCTGTTGGTGTGCAAAAGGGGTTTTATTTTCACCAAATGGATGTCAAAACAGCATTTTTACATGGCAATTTAAAGGAAGAAATTTATATGACTGTACCTGAAGGAGTCCTAGCAAATGATGAAGTTTGTAAATAAGAAAAATCTTTATATGTACTAAAGCAAAGTCCTCGTTGTTGGAACGAGAAGATTAATGAATTTTTATTGTTGATCGGTTTCAAGAGAACGACGTATGATTACTTCTTATATATAAAAACTAATTGTAGCAGCATTATATATTTAATTTTGTATGTTGACGACCTGCTTATTGGAAGTAATAATATTGAATCCATTGGCGACCTGAAAAAGAATTTGCCAGAAAAATTTTAAATGTCAGATTGTGGAGAACTTAACTACTTTCTAGGAATAAAAATTGAATATGATCGTTTAAAGGGCAGTATGAAATTATCGAAAGTTTCTAGTATTGGAAAAATACTAAAGAAGTTTGGAATGGAAGAGTGCAACTTATCAAAGATACCTACGGACAAAAACTTTCAAATTATTGATAAACATAAGGAATTGTTAGGGAGTTTAATGTATCTAATGCTGTGTATAAGGCCAGATATCTGTTATAATGTTGCATATATGGGTCGCTTTCAGCAGAATCCATCAGAAGAGCATTGGAAAGCACTTAAAAGAATACTACGGTATCTGAAAGGGACGCAAAATTTTAAATTGAATTTTATTAGAAACGAAAAGAGTGATCCTATAATTGGTTATTGTGATGCAGATTGGGCATCAGCTATAAACGATCGAAACTCTGTAAGTGGTTACATATTTATGGCATTCGGAAATTGCGTCTCATGGTCCAGTAAGAAACAAATAACTGTTGCAAAATCTTCTAGTGAAGCTGAGTACGTTGCTCTTAGTTCAGCCGTATCAGAAGCTATATGGTTAAAAGGAATTTTGGAAGATATGCAGGTCCTTAACAAAGAAAACTCTGTACCCATTTTTGAAGATAATCGGGGAAGCATATTTATGTCGAAAAACATGGAAAATAAGCGATCAAAGCATATTGATGTGAAGCATCATTTTATACGTGATCATGTTGCAAG